ACGACAACGACAACGACAGCAACAGCAACAAATACAAATACAACTACAACAAACACACATACAAATCACAAACAAAGGCAGGAAAGCAGTGTCTCAAGATCTCTGCGCCGCCGTAAGAATCCCGACTTGTCTTCTAACGCCAAGACGCTGTGAGTTGCCGTCGTGGGCTGCCGTCCCAACACTTTCTCCTCCGACTGAGAACGTCGGTGTAGCCTACAGGCCCTCGATGCAAAACGGTGGCTGCTACCGGTTAAAAATTAAAATGCACACTCCATTTCTCGCAATCTTACAGAGTAGCACTACTTGGGCTCTGAGCGCTCGAGGCTGCTGAGGTGTCTGCTTTCCCCAACGTCAGGTGTCTCTGCTTTTGGTAGACAAAGTTTCACATGTCGGGATGTCACAGCAAGAACGGAAAGCATTGGGTGCAGAGATCTCATGACAAGCATGCCATGTATAAGTATCACAGTACAAGTGCTTTTTGTGTCAGTGCTGCGTCCTGGAGCCGGCAACGGGGCTTGTTCGAAGGGCATCTTCGAGGAGGCAGAATTGCACATCAAACCGTCTATGCCAGGACTCACTGAACAACCGGCCAAAAGAAATGTTGCGATGTTCAAAGCGGTGTCCTACTGTTCCGAAGGAGCCATTAGGCTGCAAATGGTGATGTAAGCCCCTAGCCACTAAACCCCAATCCGCACGGCTCCTCCATTTCCTGCTGGAAGGCAAAGATGCGAAAGTAGCCATCATGGTCAGTGAATCGATCGAGTAAAGGCCGCACCTGGACAAGGCAAACGCAAAATTAACTCCTCGACTTAAATAAGCCAAGCCACGGACGATGGACTCGACACTAACCAGACAACAAGCCAATCCCGTTTCAATTCCGACGACCTGGGTCGGTGGCAAAGGGATAAAGCGAAAACGGCTTCGAGTTTGGGAGTGGCTTCCGCACGTCCGTTATAAATGTGTCCTTACCATCTTTGGGGGGATTCTGAGAAATTCTGACCACGCGCCGCGTCCAACGAAAGTACCTCTCATGGGGTCGTGCTCTCATATCTCACTCAGTCTTACCCCACGTGTTTGTTTGTGAACTGTTCTGAAATTGAACTGCTCATAAGCTAAACATCGGGCTCTCAAACCGTGCCCTCGTTCTCTTGCATTCGAATCAGTTATTTGGTCGAAACGCTGAAACGAACAGGATTCAAAATGTAAGCATGTCGATCTGGGACTGCCCGGTCAATACTCGATGGCGTCGAGGCTTGAATGGCACAAATCTGATAAAGCTCATACTGCAAACAGAGACATCACAACAACGCAGCCGGCATGTGGGGCTGTGATGATCCACTTCGAAGACACAGAATTCGCAAAGTATCCGAGACCTCGCTGGCAGAGAGTGCGCTAGGGATGGTGGGAGTCGTCCGCGTCAGGGGAAAGATCCTCCACTGTCATGCAATTCACGCATCGCACCTTAGGCATCCGGCCGGGTTGCTCATAGGCCTTCGCCGCTACCAGATTGGGTATGTAACGCTATGCATCAACAGACTCGGCCTAAAACGGAGAAAGTCCTGAGGAAGTGGTCAGGCTGGATGCGCCCGGCGTGGGCTTCCAGGCTGGACCAATAGCTGTCGTCAAGCGCGGTGCCGAGATTGATGCCTGCTGCAGCCCGGTGCCAATGAAGACAGGTCAAGGCTTCGCAGCGTCCAAGTCTAGAATGTTACGGCAGATGCTGCAGAAGGCTGGCAACGCCACACCTCGGGCTTCACAAAGGGCGCCGATCCGATGCAACAGTTCACGATACTTCTCCTTGAAAGGCAGTGGTGCCAAAGCGAGATGCATCCGACAAGAATCGAAAATTATAAACGGCCACACGCAGAAAAAGGATGATCGCCCTCGAACCGAACCCTCCAGAAAGAGCAGCTCAGTTGCAGGATCTGGCGGCGGCTTAGGCTCGAAGACCGACATCACATCTTGGATTCTCACGCTCACGCGCTCAGGGCGAAAGTCGTTGCGGGGCAGCTGACAAAAGAAATTTACAGGCTTTCCGAATTGTACTATACAAGCTGGCTCAACGTAGCTTGAAAGCCCAACGCCCGAACAGCGGGACCAGATGACTTGACATTGGGATGATGTTCTGCTCAAGTAAGGCGTCATCGCCATCTCCACCACCATCACCACCACTAGTAGTAATAGTAGGCATCATTAACGCCACTCACTGCTGCTGATGCCATATCCGCTGCTTTCACCGTAAGTGTACGGCAGTAGTGGCGTCGGTATCAAGCATCGGCAGTGAAAGGGGGTTCTGGCAACCTCATTCTGCCGAGCTGCCGTGGCCTGGGGGCCCAACTTCGGCCCGGGGAGTCTTCTCCAAGAAATGAGTTGTGAAGGTCGTCTCCACCTGCACCGGATGCAACAGTCTAGACAAGTATGATGCGGGCAAGACGGATGCAGATGTCTAGGTCCGCAGAGCCTCCAGGCAGAAGCGTGCGAAGTCCACCAGGAAGGGTTGCCCAGCCAGGCGGGGGAAAAACTCGAAATGCTCGGCCAAGGCCTTCGAGGCTTTGCGATACCCCAAACCCGCGAAGGTTAAAGGCGCCGCGAGATTTTCACAGGACCTGCGGCTTGAGGATAAATGCTCTTGAAGCCACTCTGTTCAATTTCAGGTTTGCAGCACCCGAATCGCATCTCGGGAGTGTGGAGATGTTGAGAGCTTGGGAAGTCTGGATCGTGCCTCTGCATCAATCGGCATTTGTGCATCGCTCAGTTGCCGTGGAGCCATGAGCCCTGTCAGCCCTCGGAGAAATTGATCTCCTGGGGCAGGCTCCAAAGTCTGTTGTTCGTGAAATGCAAAGCTTATCTGCCTCCTCTATAATGCCGCTGCTGCGAGCTGCACTACTACAAAAACTTCTCAGGCCAGCATGCACACCCAGGCGTGACTTGGAACTACCCTCGGCCGAGAGTCGCGTACATCTTCCGCAGTTGAGTCTGTCAAAATCCTTGAAAAACCTGATGCACGTTTCCGGAGAGTCCCCAGGAGTAATGGAAAAATCACAGCATCTGGGAATGCAGGCATGGAGACTCTTTGGGTCGGAGCTTTCGCTGGAAGGCATGGAGCTTGATGCGACGCATGAAGTCTGTAACCTCAATCTGGCAAAGATTGCAGGGGGCCAAAAGCACTCCGAGAATGAAGGAAGCATGGCACAGCTGCCTCTCCCGAAACCTGCACTGCAGGCACATTGCCACAAAAGCTGGGAAACGGTAGCTACTGTGCCATGGCGGTGCATGCCCCAGCATCTCAAGACTAAAGGCAATACCAAGATGCGTCGCACGCAGCATGCCGAAGCCGACCAGGTGCGGAGCCCGGACGGGGCCGGAAGCGGCGACCTTTTTGCAAGCTTACAGTATCTTACACAGCATTTGCACACTTCTCCAGCACGACATGCTTTGAGTCGGAGAGAGACCTACGCCTATAAGCACTCACTAGTATAGTCCGTATAATTAGCAACAAACAAGATTCGGAGCACGGCAGCTAGTCAACATACACTTGCTTTGCAGCATGCTCGCAATGTTGGAGATACTGACGGCAGCGAAGCCACACTCAAACGCCGCTGCCGCACGCAAGTGCGGCGGCGCTTTGGGGGTCGGCGGCTTCTCGAATATTGGCACTGGCTGAACCTGTTCAGAACTTCGCAGGATCAGACGGTGCACAGGGCATATCACGAGCCTTGCCTGCTACAGTACGTAGTTCTGAATTCTATTTGAAGTTGGGGGGGGGGGGGGGGGTTCAACTCGTCATCTATGTTGCGACCCTAAGAACTCGAGAAACCTAGCCACTGCCGTTTCTGTTGGGACCGACCGATTTATTCCAGGCTAGAGACGGCTGTTCGTTGAGCCGTCAAAGTTCCGTCCGAGATCCAAGTATCGAATCAACCGTGGAGAGCCACACACCGAGCCTTCGTCTAAGCAACGCCCCAGCCCAAGCCACCCGAAATCGTACCACCAAGCGTTCATTGGCGAACCATAATTGCTATCATCGCGAACAACTATCCAAGAGCACTTCCCATCCAAGCGGTACTGACAGTACACTTCCAAACGAGCCCTTGAAACGCAACTTGAGACCACTGCTGCTTGTCTGCCGTGCCACGTCCTTTCGTGTTTGTCTGTGTATGTGTAGAAACACACACACACACATAATAATAATAATACGTACATTTTAATGCATGTGTGTACGTATGTCTATGTATATATATATACACATAGATAGACAGATACAGATATAATATACTATACGTATGCATGCATGCATTCATGCAGGTGTGTGCTATGTGTGTACATACATACAGGTATGTATATAGATATAACAATATATATATATATATAGATATATAGATGTGTGCGTGTGTATGTGTATATATGTATATATATAGAACCGTATGTGTGTGTACATATATATATATATATGTATGCGTGTGTGTGTGTGTGTGTGTCTGCGTGTGTAGGTATGTATGTGGAGATAGATCTGTGTTCTATATGGAGATAAGTATTTATTCTATGTATGCACACTCGCATGCGCTGGAGTCCTCACTGACGATCTTTGTCATGTCGCGCAAGGTACAGCCCTGCACATCCCAACCCATGTCTTTACACATATACAGTAACAGCGGAGATGCGAACCAACCCACCGAAAGCGGGAATCGCAGTCGCGAGAGCATGGCTCAGTGGCACGGTAGATTCATGTTGTTATTGTGCTACAGCTGCTACTAGCTGTCGCGAATGAGACCTTTACGAATCGCTAGCCCGCTTGACTTGAGGAATGCACCTCATCAGCTTCAGGTTCATCTGTTGGCGCTTCCAGGCTGGGGCCATCCGGCGACACGAATACCTGCTCCGTGCACTTCCCTGGTTAAGGGAACTAGCAGGGCTCTTTACGGAGCCAGATGGAGCCAGGCTGCCGCTTGGGTCATGGAAACTGGAGAGAAGGGCTCTTCATCCGCTCCATCTTCATCCTCTTCGAGCCGACTTTCTCCTGTCTCCTGAAACGAGAGAAGTTACGGTTCCTGAATCGTGAGCATTGCATGCAGCATCTTTCATGCGGCTCCTCGTAGCACGTCGAGCCAGTAAGTTCCATGGCGCCCTTGGCCTCTTGCACCTCAGAGGGAGCCGGTCATGCTCGCCCGCACTCTGCACTCATGTCCCCACCGAGGCAGCCGCCTGAGAAAGCGGGATTTGCAAGATGTCTGCCACATCTTCTGGGGCCACGTTGCGCGCCAGCATGCCTGAACTTATGTCCAGGTTCTTGTATCACAAAGACAGACAGCATCGCACCTATCACTTTCTGGAGAACACCTCCAGCGGCAAACTTCGAGCCAAGGGACGCTGAGTTAGAACTGGTGTGTCCTGCAAAGTGCAAGCCAGCACTGGTCTACACAGCTTGAAAGTGCAAGTTATTTTCAAGGGTACCACGTCAGGCGGTCCCGATCCAACTCCATAGATCTAGCGCAGCGCAAGGCAAAGGCTCTTTCCTACCGAGAGCCAAACAGGCCTTGAGCCAAAAGATAGTTGCAAGCACACAGGCGCACAGCTGCCGCTTGTTGTCTCGGGACGGGTCTCCGTGGTGCAGGGACATGCCAGGATGGCCCAGCATCGAGTGGATCAGCCTGTGCAAGGCTCAGCAGTGTGCCTAACATTACGTAAGACGTAAGAGTTGCAGCCAGCTGATGTGACCTGTGGATCATGAAGCTTCGGCTACAACACGGCCTCAAGCATCCGTGAATATCAACCAAGCATGGGCGTGTCATCTATCAAACCCACCTACAAGCCCCGCTAACTTGTTCAATGGCTCTTGTTGCCAGCTTGGGTACCCCGAAGTTGGGCAACGGCTCGTCGGCGCCGACGACTGGCTTGGCCTACCGCAAGGTAAGGGTTGCTCTGGTCGTGTCGGACTCGTGTCGATGTCCGCATAATCGCAATAAAGAGACGGTTCCCCAAGTCTGAGAACATGGATGCAAGTTGGGTGTTGTGGCAAACAGAGAGCGTGCCTCGTGCATCGAGCGATGAGATCGGCCCGACTTCCCCGAGTGCGAGCTTCGGCCTTCTGCGAGGTAGGAGGCGGAGGCGGCGGGCTGGGAAAAGTTCCGCAGGAATTTAAACAAACGGCACCGCGAGCATTATCCAGTGTCGCAGGATGCTTTCTATGGCGGACGCAGAGCGTTGATGGATCCGTAACCCTGAGGCCACCGCGGCTTCGTCCAGTGTTTGGAGCACTGACATCCTCGGCCTCAAGGCTCAGCAGATCTGCTCAGAAGACTGCTTCCGGACCTTCCGGCTTTGCACCATGCAAGCTCACCAGTCTCACATCGAAGATGCGCTCAAGGCCATTTGCACGCGATAGGAGTGTACACATTCCTGAAGAAGTACACCAGCTTAGGCTCAAGCAGGCGCAGGCATGCCGAAGACTGGGAGCATGGCTTCGGCCTGCATCGGAATGACATTTAGAACCCAGTTCTTTTTGGCTCCCACATGGCAAAAGAACCCAGTTCTACCAATGTGTATTATATGACATCTAACAGCCGCCAAACAGACCAATAGAAAGTACTGCATGCACAGAGAGCCCGTGTGTGTGTGTACACAACTATCTATGTATATATATATATATTGTATATATATATATATACATACAGTAGTACACGACTGAAAGAGAAAGACGCTTGCAATCTGCTGTCGAGACACGACTACTGAATTTCAACCTGTCAGCAAACTCAGCTCCCGGCAGGTGTCTGCATGCCTTAGAGAGTTAAGCTGTTATGGGTACACATACCAGGAAGAATGACAAGTTCTCTGTGACCGAAGATTACGTGCATGGGCGATTCGGTATTCAGAAGTAGTTTGGCACAAGCTTCCGCCAAAGACTTGTTTTCCTGGGTGTCCATGCAGCGGCACTGTGTGGTCTGAAGTCCTGTGAAACTCAGCGCTGTTGGCTCTGTTGTTGCTGCTGCGCATACTCCTGACAAGAAATCACCGCAAGCGAGTGAATGCGCTTCACCTTGCCTATTCCGCTTGTACGTGCAATCGCATGCATGCAGCTGACCATTGCGTGTATCTTGCACACCCCAGACCTGCCACTACCAACTTCTTTTGCAATGGTATCATGCTTGAACTGGCTTGCCTGGAACTCTTTCTCCATTTGCTCTATCTGTTCGAGGGTCGCTGACCTTGGTATTGGCTCATGCCACCCCGGACTCATCACCCAGCAACAACAACGACACAAGGCTTACGTAAAAGCTGCGTGCCCTGATTAAAGCCGAGGTTGCTTGATCGGCATGATCTTCGGCTTGCAGAGAACTTCGGAAAGGTTGCCTTTCCTTGCGATGGGAAGCTGCCCACGCTGCATGCGCGAGCGCAAATGATGTCCAAATTACTTGAGGCCTTGCAACAAGTCAACATGGTAGATATTTAACACTGCCCTGAGAACTACACTTTGTGGACGTAGTGCAAGCAGCCGGAAACTCGAAGTCTGATGTCTCCAACATCCCAAAGCGCACCCAAACCTAACTCTGTTTCAGCTCAGGGGCTCGGAGTACACGAGACCCGCTTTCGGCCTTCCAAAGTGGAGTAGTAGCGTTTGGGTTCAGTGCCAACTTGCAAGGTTTTCTTCAATTTGCACTGCCACAGTGGGACGGCTCGACAGCAGCTACAAGCAGCACTGCCAGATAACAGCGACCGGTAAGTGCGTGGGTCTACTTTTCTCCAGTCCCATAAAAGACTTAGAATCCAGAACTTCTGAGCTGTCTGAGGGGTGTTTCACGGAATACCAGTCGGCGGGATATGTCAGGATAGAAACAAAAACATGCGGACGAACTTAATCATTGCTGGAAAGGGTAAAAGCCGCTGCGGCTTTGCGGAACACGGTACCCGTCCTAGTATAGCCCATGCCGAGCGGCAGAATCTCAGGGATCACGGTATGCTTTGCCGCATCATCCATGTTCTCTTGCAGTTCTCGCGGCCGTCAGCTTGAGCAGTGAATCTTGCTTCGGCAGTCGTCAGCGGGATGTTCATCACTTACTTTGTGCCGCTGCGAGCTGCGAAGTTCTTCCGGCAGCTACCAATTCCACAACACCCTGTTCATCGGGTCATTCACTGTTGTAGTGTTCGTGCATGCCTCTAGGACAAAACCGACTGAAACATGACCAACACATGGAAGGCCATTGGGACCGTAGCTTCCTGCGGGGCTGGAAACCTGAATCACGAAAGCTGCGCTGAAGCTGTTGGGCTGCTGAGGGTGCAGCTGGAAGGCCCTGGCTCTGCCTTGCCATTGTGCAAGTGCAGCACTAAGAAATCCTTATGAGTGTTGAGTATTGCTATATCAGACAGTTTGGTGAGCCCACTTCAACGCAGAGCGAAAGCTGCACAGAACACCTTCGCGCCTGCATGAAAGTGATACTATCCCCATGCCTGTTTGTCGTCTGGGCCGAAGGCATCTAATCGAGCAGCCGGCTTCACGGCGGCCAGCGCCTCGGCTTGGGACTTAGCCGAGCCGGGGCTCGCACACTTCTTTAAGCGGGATTTTCATGGCCTCGGCAGCGGCGGCGCCTCCGCCCGCAATGGCACCAACCTCGGCATGTGAGGCTGGAACTGTGGCAAGCTCTGGCCGAAAAACACTTACTTGTAATATGCCTCAACAAACAGAATGTTATACAGTGCCATCGTGTACCAGTGCCTCTTCTGTTTTCACTTTGACTACGAAACCGTCAAGCGCTGAGCACAGCGCAGTGCGGGAACGATGGAGGTGTCTTTTAGGCTTCTCGGGCCTCGGGCAAGCGAAAGCTGATGCGACGGAACAGGTGCCTTCCGTTATTTTCCTTATACTTGTGCTTGGGCTGTTTGATTTGCCAGGATGCAATGTGCAAGCGCATGCAAACGTTGCCTGTGTGAAGGTGCGAAGGGCCGCAGGCAGATGCGAGAACATCGCTGCGGAAGCTCAGAGTCCAGGCGGTCCCAGCTCCGATAACGAGCTCAGCAAGTCCTGCAGCTGCTGTGAATCGACATCAGCAGGCCGGACACCTTTTATCGACGCCTGAGCCCTACAGTTCGCAAACAGGCCGAGCCGACTTGAGGCATTGCTGTCAACCATTCAGAATTCAATTCGATTTCAACGAGCAAAACCTGATCACACGGGATCAACACTTCAAGACTCCTCCGCCGCGCGATCGTCTTTGCTGTCCCCACTGTTCCCTGGAGCTGTACTGTAGATGATCACGTGCTCGCAGTCTCGTCTTCTCTTGTCCGTATCGAAAGATTGCGCGGGCCCAGACCCTACTCTGCAGTTTCGGCCTAGGCCTGCAGGTGGCCGAGAGTTCCTACAGAAAACGAGGCCTGTGGGCTGCTGAGACTGCTTCTCACGCTTGCAATTAGACCTAGGCCCCCGGCCTGCAGCACCGGCATGCACCGGCCAAATCTCTCTGCTACATCTTAGCCTCTCGTGCAGTTATGCTGAGGCTGCCACTTTTCTTTTCCCGCTTATTCAGGATTTGCTCCTTAGGAAAGCGAACGACGCAATGCTGTTCTGGAGGCACCATTTCATACCAATTCTCCCTGAATCTATCACAACCCAAGCGGCATTACGGAACACGCGGCAGAAACAAAGGCTCTGCTGTCTGGACTGCACAGCTGTGGGCCCCAACCACCCGATCGCGAGCCGCCTTCCAGTTCCAAGATGGAAGGCGAAGGGCGAGCAAATTTCCGATGGCATCTCCGCCGATGCCTGTCTGGCTTGTTCCGACTGCTTCAGCTTCTCCTGCAGCTCCTGCTTCTGCTCGACCAACTTCCTGATAGAGGCGGCTGAGGTCGGACCCGTGAGGCTAGTGAGCTAGTTGTAGTGCTAGTGCCCCGCATTGCTCTGCTCAGCGCTGGACTCGCGCTTGCGGTTTGTCCCTCGGAGGTGGGTGGTTACACGCAAGGGCCCTTGGCTCCTCTGAGCCGCTACCTGAACGAGGCAACATTGCTGAGGACAGCTCGATCTCGCTCTGCCCGCAGCTCTGCATTTTCCTCCTGGCAGATCAAGCGGCCGGCGACGGCCAGGGCCCGAAACTCTTGCCAAGCAAAAGCACGTTCAGATGGCTCGCTTCTACTTCCCTCGGCTGCAAGGCCTCCAGCTGTTGCACTTTGGCGGTAAGGTCCTGAGACGCATTTACCAAAACGTTATCATGGAGAACTTCTGGAGAACCATTCCAGCAAGCGCCGAAAGTATATAAGTGTTGCAATGCAGCTTGCAACTTCGCTACAATTGACAGGGCAGCAAAGACTACAAAGCGCTGCCGCCCGAAACCGTCCTGGAGCTGCTGCGCATAGCCCGCGATTTCCTTAGTTCCAACTAAGGGTTGGTCCCGCATCATGTTCTGGAGCCGACATGAGGGTCAGAACTCGCTATTCAGCTGAGAGCCGGGCACTGTCCAGAAGCTCAGCAGCATCATCCTGAACACCCACGCTTCCCCATATGGCTCCGACTCTCTCCGGGCTGCGATGAAATCTGTCAGCGTACAAGGGCATCAACATGAAAAAGCTTTCTGCTGCCCTCGTGTCCGCACCCTGTCCTCGAGCTGACGGTCCTGCAAAGAGCACACAATAGCAGACAGACGTGCTTCTCACACTCGTCGACAAATGTCTAAAGCATCCACTAAATTCATACTTCATGCTGCGCGTTTCGCGTCGTGCCTTCATCTGCTCCGCAAGATCTGATAAGGCCGAATGCCTGAAATCTCCAGTCTCCAACGCTTGAAACGTTCTTCGCGCGCTGTGTCCTGAGTTCGCATGCCAGGGCCCCCACGCATGCAACAGCTCCTCGTCCTTCCCGGAAATGACCTCAACAGGGCTCAAACTGCAGTCTCTACCGACTCTACCGGTGACGGACGGTGACAGGAAATGCTCCGTTAAGCCTCCGGTCGCCTTGGACACCTGGACAGAGAACAGGTCTGGATTGAATAAGGGACGAACTACGTCTTCTTGAAGGGTTTCCGGTCGACAGCGCAAGCTCGATGGAACCATGCAGGGCCGAAAATTCTTCTGCTTTCCGTGATCAAGCCCTGGCGAAAACCGGGCCATTCTCTGCAACTGTTGTCGCTTACCACGAAATCCGGAAGTGCCCAGAACAACTCGCTTGACGCAGCTCGGGGGCAGAGAAGTTCGACACCCAGGTTTCAAGAACAGCAACCCAAATACCTCCCATAAAGCACATTTAGACAATCAAACGTAGAACATCCAGCAGATTCGTGAGTCAGCAGGTCCCATGCGTAGAAGAGCTCTTCCTCGTGGGCGCGAGCCTCAATGCCGCGAACTGGCGCATTGCAGCAAGGTCTGCCTCTAGCAACCCTTCACTCGTGGATCGGAGATGTTGTGAGGGTGATCCGAACCTCACAGCATTTCTGTAGTTCGACAAGCCATAAGCTCCCCACCAGGTCCCTCTGCTCGCACACCACAGCAAGCTCTTCTTGCAAGTCCTTGAAGCCAGCAGTGCCAGGAGGGGCCACGGTTTGCTTTCAGGGCCGCCAGGCCTCGGAGATGCCCTGGAGACGGCCCAACTCTTCCTGCAGCCTGGGACCTGGGGCCACACGGTCGGCTTCACGCCATCTCTACTCCTCCCTGTGCAGGCAGTAGAAACGAACCCTTTCGGCTTTTGGCTGTGGTCGAGACTGGAGACAAGCAGGCAGACAGGAATCCGACAGCTCTTTGGCTGCGCTAAACGACACCTACCGTCGGGCTCGATTTTTTGCCCGACTGACGGAATGGGCACTATAGCCTGGCTGTGGACCCGCAGTCCTGTCCGCATGTAGCTCAACTTGGCGGTTTAACTTGGGCTGCCACACACCGAAGCTACCTGACTGCTTGTGAAAATGAGTTCTTCAAGAGGATGCGAGGTAGTTCAAACAAAGCGAGCTCGGGTCCTTGTCCAAGACTAAGCAGCCCCGCAGCAGCAACGGGCTCGCTCTGCCAGCGATTTCCTCTCCACCACTGGCCTGCAAATCTTGCAAAGCAATAGAAGCCTCGCGCAGCTGTGGGAGGCAGCCCCACGCGGCTCTTCTTTTGACACCAACCCAGCACATACGACATCTCCAGCACGCCGAAATGAGATGGATCGCAAAGAACTGAGCAATGCCAACGGAAAAGGGAATGCACTGCAGCTCTGCGACAAAGCTTTTTTGCCTCTTGTGCCCTTCGGGCTCATGACCCCGAGCCGCCCACCTGGACTTCAAACGCAAGCATGATGCTGGTGTCCTGCGTGGGAGGTCCCGTGCACACTCATCTGAGAGTCTGAGTCACATGATCGGG